AACAAAATTGTTATAAATAAAAGGCCGGGTATGGGCTGACTGCAAGGCAAAACGACTACGAGGCGAAAAACGTAAAGGAATAAAATATTATGAAAACAATTAAGGCTTTTAACAACTTACCGGCCCATTAAATACTGCTTTGCCCGTTAAACTTAATCTAACCTCAATGTGCTGTGTCGGATTGTGCAATATGAGGGATAAAAGTGAATTACATCCACGTTTATCCATGATATTGCACAATCCTTTGCAGCACTTATTGGTCGTACTATAGTACGTACTTTGATGGGTGATACCCGGTATCACAGTGATATGTGTATCCCCGTGATATGTGTATCCCCGTACACATATCCCTAGTGATATGTGTATCCCGGGTGGGGATACAATAAACACTGATGCTCATCCCCGACACAATAAGGAAATACCTTCTCTTGCTAAAGGAAATATCGTCGATATCATCTAACATAACTAGTAACACAACTAGGATTAAGACAGGAATCAAACAACATGCAAAGGTGGAATATTGTGGCGCTCGCAGAAGGGATACACATATCACTGACCCGGCGCAGAGATATGTGTATCCCCTGTTTTTTCTTCTCTTGCTAAAGGAAATATCGTCCATATAATCTATCAGAACAACTAGGTTTAAGACAAATAGGTTTAAGACAGGAATCAAACAACTTAAAAGGTGGATTATTATCAATGGTGCTTGCAGGGGGGATACACATATCACTGAACCAGCGCAGAGATATGTGTATGCCCTCTCTATTTTTTGACTTTTCGAGTTATCCCTCGCTGAATGAAATTTTGTCAGTCATACTTATTTAACGCGAGTAGTGACATTTGAATTATAATCACGTTACGTCACGTTGGATAAGGAGAGGAGCGACGAAGAAGTAAACTCGCCAGAGACAGCTTTGCGATTATTTTGTCGCGAATCGTTGCTCTTTTGTCGATTTATTGTGTTGCTCATAATCTTGAATCATTTGTAGTCCCTTCGACGATGATTCGCAAAATTCACAAAAACAACAGAAATAAAACCGACACTTGTTTGGAGGGGTGGGGGGTAGGGGATACACATTTCACTGGCAGCCATATTGGAGGGATACACATATCAATAGGGACATGTGTACGGGGATACACATATCACGGGGATACACATATCACTGTGACACCGGTAATTTGGGCATCATTTTTACGGGTGATACCCAGTACCCTCCGTGTGAATCGGGCACCCGATTCACACCGATTCACCGTGATCATCGCGTGATCGATAACGTAAAGTCTACGTCCTAGACAGAATATGTGCTTACGAATGAAATTTTCTGTTTGAAGCCGAACACCGATTCTATCGCGTTTTGTTTTCATTGTCCATAGAGAGCAGTTTTCCTTTTGGAGCCGAATATTGTACACATAAGCGGTAAGTAATGGTTAAAATCTCCTATAAAGTAATCTCTCTCTCTCTCTCTCTCCTTCTCTAACTGCTTATAGATAACTAAACGTTGCATAGACGTCCTTCTGTAGTACTTCGCAGGTCAAACGGAAGTGGGCTTTTTGCATTCTAGGCATGGTTTTGCCCATATTTTCAAGTAAGTCTCCTGTTTTAAGAGTAAAGAAACTTAGCAATACAATTTGGTAGCATCAAGGCATATAAAAAGGGAAGAAAACTTACTTCCGGTTGACGTGCGTGGCTCAAAAGTTCAAGCTCTCTACTGGTTTGTCAAAAACGTTGCATGTACCCCTTTCCCCTTTTCTTCTCGGTCTTCCCCAATTTTTCCTTTCCCATCCCTACACGATGACTTTTTCCAAACTATGCCTTCTTTTAAAATGACCAACATACAGTACTTCAGCTTCTGTCCGCCTTTTGATTTTTAAAGTTCTCTAACCATCGATCAGTTCCTCCCCTCTCGATTCGTTCGTTCTGTGTTCCGTCCACAAAATTCTTAGAATTTTCCCGTAGCATTTCATTTCATAAGCTTAAATTCTTGTTAAAACTGTTACTTTTTTTTTCTTTTCACGCGCAGTTGTTAATAAATGCAATCTGAACGGTGCCTTGATTGAGAGAAAGGAGGCAGAGGAAGGAAATTGAAAAGGTAAGACAACTGTTTGTAGACTGCGAGCAGTCTCTTATTTTAGAGGCGTTTTTGATCCGATTTGTATAGGTAATAGCATGATGTTTAGTGATATTTGGCATAAATACCGCGCGTGATATTTCGAAATTGTTATATGTAACGGAGAGTGAAATTTGAGAGAATTTGAAATATCACGAGTGGTAGTTATGCCAAATGTACAAATTATGCTATTGTTTGTTTATACTACTACCGGCAAAGGTAATTTTCACGTGTTGGTATTTTAAATTAAGCTGAAATACCACTGCTCTAAGCCAATCAAATTGCAGTTATTTTTTATGTAGTAGTATAAAAAAATTATTAATGTCTACATACGCACTCATTCCATCTTAGAATAACTCGATGGGTCTAAGAGAAAATGCAGACTGCAAGCGGTCTAAACTATTCTTTTGGGTTATTTAAAAGATAACTTTAGAAGTATCAGTAAAGTTGAAGGGTGATCTTATATACTTGCATGGTTTCTAGTGTCACCTGAGTTACGAGAGTGCATGTTCTGTTGGTTGTCAGGTAACACTCCCTGTCAAGACGTACCTCATGACAACCCCATCCCTTAAAGAAACTTTGTCATGCCATCTACTATCTTTTTAAAAAGCTAAAACGTTTCTTGCGTCTATCGAAGTCCAAAAATTATTCAGGGCCATATTTAGGCATTGAAACTGTTTCCAGTCTTCTGTTGCCAAGGATGGCAAGGATGGACATGTGACTGAAAGTTTTAATGCTATGCCTTCAAAACTCATGACCAAAAAAGAAAATATTATGATCGCTATAATAGTGCTCCGTGATGAAATTTGTTTGATAGCGTCCTTAACTCTAACTTAACTCTACAGGAGGATTTTTTATAGTGGTAAAGGCATTGCCATGAAATTAATGACTTCAGCATAGAATTGACCTAAAACAGCAATATCATCATGCCAGCACTTCCTTCCATCTAATCATATGATCCTAAATGCCCTCCGCCCCTTCCCATTTTTTTCTTTCGAAATGAAGGCTTGTCTCTAATTAATGAATGCACAGCAAAACATGAAAAATGAACGGAGGATGAAAAGCGAAAGAAGAGGGTGGGGAAGAAAGTTGAACTGCTGTGTCACTGAACCCCTTTTAGCACATGCCTGCCCAGACTCAGTTCAAGGCCAATATTTAGCGTCTGAAACTGCTTGACAGAGGGGTTGGGGGGGTGGAGTAGGGGCTGGCTTTTTCATTCTTTGTAGCCCAAAAACAGTACCCAGTACACAGAAAACTGCTTAACTAGCAGTTTGGTTTTTTCGTCAGATTTCCTGGCGCAACCTGGTCAATCCAAGACCCAGTCAGTTTTCGGGAAAATCTACTTTTGAGCGTAAAAAACCAAATCTGGCCCTCAAGTGCCGAATCGGCTGAAAAAATCGGCAAAAGATGAATTTTAGTATTTTTGATTTAAAGATGCCCACTAACGACCTTTTCAGAAGTCATCAATCAAGAGACCCTCTCTTGGAAGGATTAATAGTAGATAATAGGCACTAAACTTTCTTTTTTCCTTCCCATCGAGTGGCTATAGGAAAATTAAAGATGCTTAACTGTAAATATTTTTTGTGGTTTGGGTTCATCTCAGACTGATCTTTTAATAACTTAATGGGGCTATATGTGTCATGCCATCTTTGTAATGCATTAATCAAATTCCCCCTCCCCCCCAAAAGGTCCAGGTTTGTTATTTTAGGCCGGCTTATATCTAGAGATTAAACCTGTCTCCTGTTGTCTGTTGCAACAGAGCACAAGGATGGACCTTGACTGAAACTTGAAAAACTTGGGCCAAATTTTTCAAGTTTTAATGCTATGCCTGCAAAATTAAATCACCAAAATCATTATAATTACTTCTTCCTGATGAAATTTATTTGATATCTTTTTCGTAACTCTACAGGACCTTTTATATGTATTGAGTAAAGGCACTAATTAATGACTTCAGCACAGAATTAACTTAAAACGGCAGCCCATAACCCGGAACGAGCAACTCCCATACTAGGCCTTATTGTCATGGCGTTTGTACAGACCAGTTTATTTTTAGAAACATTTTAGGGCAATTTTTCCCGCGAAAATAGAATCTCCAACATGTCTATGAGCACATTCAACGTATAAGATATCAAAAAGGAAAGCTTAACGTTTTTGTTAAAAGGCAACAAAATATCATTTTTAGGTCAGTAGGTTTTGCTGACTGGTTTGTGGAATTTAAAAGATATTAAAAATTTGCGTCAAAACCATTCTAAAAATAAACAGGCCCATGAAAACGCCGTGGCACGAGTGCATGGAAGTTGCTGGGCTCCGGGTTATGGGCTCCTGCTTAAAATATCATTATCCTCGTGAAGTAGCCTCTGAAGATGAAGATTTAAAATATTTAGAACCTGACTTTGTTGTATTAGAAAATGTCTTTCCATACTAAGAGCAAAAGTTGGAAACTGCATTAGTAGACCTGTCATAGCCGTCAGGCCTCGGGTGCGATCGTGAAAAAGGGTCTCTTCAGTCGACCTGTTTTGCATGCTACACTGCCGGATTACATTTTGCCCCTGGCTCACATCCTCGTCAGAGTTTCTCAGTTTTAAAATGCGTAGTTCCGCAACGACGTTTGCGTTAAAGTCGATCGGAGCAACACGTGTTGTGGTCAGCTGTGCACTTTCCACGTTATTTCAAAATTCTTTATCACATACGTGTTATTATTTAGGCTATCTGAACATTTGTGTATTTTTTCTCTAGGTTATTCTAGTTAAATAAAAGTATTACCGAAATTCCCTTTATCCCTGTAATATACACGAAGTGTCAGGCAATGAACATTTAATTCATTTGGTAAATTCTTTGTATTAAATTTTTTTAAAACAGGTTTCAAGACTGTTACCCTCCTTCTGTTACCAAATGGCCTCTAAAGTGTATTCGGAAGAACAGCTTAACTACTTCCGGGTTTGTTACATAGCCACTGACATACTACCCCCAGCTTTACGATTACTGTTCAAGCAGGAATGGGACAATCGTTACAAGACAACAGTTGGTGAATGGAACGACACGCCTCAAAATGGCCTGGACTTTAAAAACGGTGAGTCTGCAGATAATCAATCAAGAAATGCCGAACAGTTACTCACAATGGTAAATGGAAACAGGGCGCAGTGGGATTGTACTATGCTATTTTATGCCATCCTGCATTCTGATTCTATCAGACCTCGACTGAGTAAACTGATCAGAAAAAACGTTCATAAACTCAGAGAGTTTCGAAATAAATTCTACGCTCACAGGACAGAAGGTCAGTTCTCAAATGCAGACTTCAAAACCACCGTGGCAAAAGTGGAGAAAGCATTCCGAGCTCTTGGCCTATCTACTGTTGAAATCCAAACAGTAAGTAAGCAGAAAAGTTTTCCAACCGATGAGTTGCAAAATGTGAAGACAAGTAATCAGAAACTTACTCAAGACCTTGAGACGAAAGAGGCGGAACTTCAAGAGAACAAAGACAGGCTAAAAACTTCTGAAGAACAAAGCAAGGTGTTTGAAGAGCAACTACAGCGCGAAGTAGAGCCATTTTGCGTCCTTCCACCCAAACCTCCCCATGTGATCGCAAATCGCGATTTCCACGTTGAGAACGTAACACAGAAGCTGTTAAACTTAAGGAAGGCTAACGAGAACGCTTTAAGTTATTGTTATATTTCAGGCAATCCTGGGAGTGGCAAATCCCAGCTGGCTGGACTAGTTGGTGAGAAATACTACAAAGAAGCCAGCAAAGACACAAATGCTCCGTCATTTGTAATGACCTTAAGTGCTGAAAACCCAGAAGCGCTTTTAACATCATACCTGTCACTGGCAAGAAAAATGCACTGCCCCGAGTTTACTATGAATACCACCGAAAACTCCAAGGATCTAAATGATGAACGGAAAATAGCCATTATCAAAGATTTAATTGCGACAAAAATTCACCTTTACTCATCTTGGCTCTTAGTGATTGACAATGTCACAAATCTTCCTTGGATAGGTCAGTTTCTTCCTGAGCGTGGAAATGAGCAGTGGGGCAAAGGCCAGCTGCTAATCACAACGCAAGATTGTACCTGTATGCCTCCAGATAGTTCCTTCATAAGCAAAGGCATGGAGCCTGCTGATGCTATTTGCCTTCTAACCGAGCTCTCTGGAATCACTGACAATGACATGGGAAAAAACGTAGCCCACGCATTGGATTACCAGCCACTTGCACTAGCCAGCGCAGGAGTGTACGTGAGAAAGGTGCGAAATACCAATCCAAACTTTGGCTGGGAGGGGTACTTAGAAAAACTAGAGAAAGGCAAACGTGAACTCACTGAAAAGGAACTTGTCAATGTAAACAATATCTACCCAAACTCTATGACTTTAGCGACCAAGATAGCTCTTGAAACGGTAATGGATTCTGATGAAATAATGAAGCACGCTTTTACTTTTCTTGCATTTTGTGCACCAGAGCCACTGAGGTTAGACGTGTTAACCACTTACGTTGTAAGTGCTGATGAAGAATTGGATGAAGAGGAAATAGGCATTCAGATTCAAGGGTCCTCTTTGTTGCTAATCGAAAAAGAGGATGATGTCAACATTCGTTTGCACAAGGTGGTACACGATATTGTCAAGCGTTTAGTTAAAGACCAAATGGAGGCTAATGAACGTGCCCGCGTTGCTTGTGTCGCAATAGGGTCATGCAGTCAGTATATTCATAAAGCAATACCAGAGACCCTGCAAAGTCAGGATTCCGTCGTTGGAAGCAAACACATTGTTCCACACTTAAAAACTCTAGCTGAAGGAATTACAAACATTATCTCTACTGAAGAGAAATTCGGTCTCATCAAAAACACTATTCTAAATATATACAATCCTATATATAACTTTGAGACGCTTGCTCAAGTTTGCTGGTTACATAGCGAATACGTGTCAGCAATGAATTTTTCCAGTGTAGCTTTAAAACTCATTGAAGACAACACGATAAGGACAGGGCCTGACCATGTTGAGCGGTTCGTGCGTATATACCATATGATGGGTCTCGTGCATTGGCACTTGGGTGACTATCAACAGGCCAAGGAGTATTATGAACGTACCCTGTCAATACAACTGAATATGCTCGGACCCGACCATGTTGACGTCGCGGTTACGTACTATAACATGGGCCTCCTACATAGGGACTTGGGTGACCATCATCAGGCCAAGGAGTATTATGAACGTGCCTTGTCCATACGACTGAATAAGCTTGAATCCGATCATGTTGACGTCGCGCGTACGTACCATAGCATGGGTATCCTACATATGGGCTTAAGTGACCATCGTCAGGCCAAGGAGTATTATGATCGTGCCTTGTCCATACTACTGAATAAGCTTGGATCCGATCATGTTGTCGTCGCGTGTACGTACCTTAACATGGGTATCCTACATAGCGACTTGGGTGACCATCATCAGGCCAAGGAGTATTATGAACGTGCCTTGTCCATACAACTGAATAAGCTTGGATCCGATCATGTTGTCGTCGTGCGTACGTACCATAACATGGGTATACTACATAGCGACTTGGGTGACCATCATCAGGCCAAGGAGTATTATGAACGTGCCTTGTCCATACAGCTGAATAAGCTTGGATCCGATCATGTTGACGTCGCGCGTGCGTACCATAACATGGGTATCCTACATATGGGCTTAAGTGACCATCGTCAGGCCAAGGAGTACTATGAACGTGCCTTGTCCATACAACTGAATAAGCTTGGACCCGACCATGTTGACGTCGCGTTTACGTACCATAACATGGGAATCCTACATAGCGACTTGGGTGACCATCATCAGGCAAAGGAGTATTATGAACGTGCCTTGTGTATACTACTGAATAAGCTTGAACCTGATCATGCCAAGGTCACGGAATTGTCCCGTTTATTAGCTGGTGTGCAACGTGTTTTGGATTCCCAGCAGCAGGCGCCTGATCATCATGACCTTACACAGTTGAATCAGCCGCAAGAGCGTGGACCGGATCAAACTGATTTCGAATTTGCTAATTGCAAGAGGCGTCGCTAAGATGACTCTTCACTCCTCTTAAAATAATGTTGTTGATAACCTGTTGCGTCGTTTTTTGCTTTTAACGAAACAAATAACTGCAGTTTTGTAGAATTTTAGCATACGCGATATTTATAGTCACAAGCACTTGTCTCAGGTCACTTGTCATAAACACAAATATATATTAATATATCAATTTTAAGCCTACTTTTGGTATAGAGTTATACAGAGAACAGTTTTGATTAACATATAGATGAGCGATTTTTGAGATTTAGTCCGTGGAATTTCGGTTTTGTGAAGGTTAGACATGTTTAATTTGACGATGCTAAAGTCTTCTTTCATTTCTTTAAAAGTTTGTACCAATAAAAGATGTTGTTTTACTTTAAAAAACTCATTAATAATTTATGAGCTAAACAACCTAGCACATCCCCTAAAATCCGTCTCGAGCTCGTGTTTTAAACCCCGGTAAAACACTGTCAAACTAAAAAGCCTGCGGGCGGCATTTGATTTCAGTCTCAATGGAGTGCGGAGTGAACACAGCCGTTTTTAGTTTCGTTACACAAAGTTCCTTCCCACTAACGGCTGCTGAAAATCGAACCACATTCCTTTCCTTTTGAGTTTGTGGTCTAACGAACAAACCAATCATGTATAAGAAACTTGACAATACGTGAGCCGCAGGGCGCTAGGAGCGAACACGCTTCTTAGTTTTCGACAAATCAATCAATCGTCGCTGAATTTCGATGGCCTCTGTGTGTGCAAGCAACGAAAAGGTTATTTGCAGAAACGTTTGTTTTAAGCGGTTAACAAAATTCCAAGTGAAAAAAAAAAGGTTTGATAGGCCTACAAGACTCTTACCAGGATCGGTAGGTTCTTTTTAACGTGCATATTTAGCCTGCGTGGCAGGCGCAAAAAGGGAAGGAGAGGTGGAGAAAAGCACCCTCCCTTTTTTCCTTTCTCCCTATCCCAGGCTATGCATATGTATGATGAATTTCATGTGCCGGATGTGCTCATTGTGTTGTTGTGCATGTGAAGACTGTGAAGATTAAACTCTCAGTGGTACTGATTCTCCTGTCGATAAGCGATTTCCCAAAACTATACCCGGCACCTTTATAAGCACATCCATGTTGTGCATCATATTTGCTCGACTTGTTGTTGCTGCTTATCTCAAAAATTTTGAAAGGACTCGACAACTACAACACTACTCTAATTGATTGCTTGTTTTCACGCGACGATTTTGATTGTTCTGTCATTCACACATGGGGCACCGATAAAAGCAAAGCTATGATTGGAGGAGTCACCATACTGCAAATGTGGCACGAACACCTTCCAGAAAATGGGAGCTGAATTCTAATTGGCTCATCGCGGGAAAGGAATGTGTTTCGATTTTCAGCAGCCGTTAGTGGGGAGGAGCGTTGCGTGACGACACTAAAAACGGCTGTGTAGCAGACTAAGTGCGGGGCTGATTGTATCTTGCTTCACTGATATTCTTTATTTAAAAATTTCAGCCTCATTAATATTCTTTATATAAAAAATACTAATAAGGATAACATTTTATTTCATTGCACGTGACCTATGAATATTAATTATCAGCACAGCAACTTACACAACAAATGGTGGGTGAATACTTAATGTTCTTTGAAAATAACACACGCAGTAACTTTACTACTGCAAAAATTAAAACTTTGTTCTTTCACCAATTTAATCAGCCAAAAGTTCAGTGACACAGCGGGAGTATTGGCTATAGCAGTGTCCAAGCGTTGTACTCAAGACTTGCCAACTTGCCGAGTTTTTTGAACGGCTTCCTTGAAACGTAGTTATTAGAGGAGACTGGATATGAAAAGCGGCAAACATCAATGATAAAAACAACAGTGCTGCAGTTTATGTTGGACGCACCCTGAAAGTGCACAATCCTTTGTTTTCTGTTGGCAAATTGTTACGGAATAAATTAATGCAACGTTTTTACTGGTCAATACAATCAAAATGATAGGAATTCTTTTGAACGTTGTGCACTTTCAGGTCCACAAAAAACATATAACAAAGGAGTCTGATGGGTTTTATAACCATTCCACTCAATTAACTATGCTTGAAATAAGCTCTTCTATAGTTAAGATATTGTTCCTTTTGAACCTGGTGCAATAATAAAAAAATGTTTCAGGTACTCATTTTCCAGGCTTAATCATCGGAGTCTCAAATAAAGCTATATGGAGGAAGACAACACCATGCATAATGTTAGATTTATATCATCTTGAATAATAAGCTAATATCCCCGGGAGAAAAAAGAAACAAAAAATGATTTCAGATGAAAAAAGAAAGAAGGAAAGGTCAATAATGTACGATCAAGAGACGTTTCTATAATTTTCAATAACCTGTTCCAGGCTCTAAGATAGTGGTAAAAAGACGTTCTGTAACAAGAAATGCGAAAAAAGCGTGTGGGCTGGGGAGAGACAGGGCCCCCTTTCCCAAATCGCGCGCATTCTATTTTCGCTTTGCTCGTTTTAATACGTTCCTGCTATACTATCTGAGAGCATGGCACATGCTAAATTTTCACGAGAATTCTAAGAAGGAAAAAAATCGAATATTATCCAACACTCAATAAAACTAATTGAAAAGGTTAGCTTTACTATTTAAGTTGAGATCCACTTCCAAATTGTTATCCGTGGCAAGAGACGAAAGTAAAGGACCGATTGTTTATTACGTCCCAGTGGGGTGGGGGTGGGGGGCGGTCACAAAAGTGTGATGTATCAAAACGTTACCCCCCCCCCAAAAAAAAAAAAAAAAAAATTTACATATGAAAACTGTACCTCCCTTCTTGGCAATAACAATTTTTATAATGCACCCCCCCGCCTCCAACCCCTTCTAGACCAAGTCTCTTCTTCCATCCTTAGGCATTGATTTCATAAGCTACAAGATGCCGGTTGTCAGCAGCGTAGCGTGAGATTTTGAAGGTGCACGCAGGGAAAAAGTTAGCGCGCCGAAGGCGCCTCAAACCTGAGGAGTCTGGGTGCATGCTCCCCCAGAAAAGTTTTAAATTAAAGGTCTCGGAAATGCTATCCCCTGCATTTTCTGCAGGACATTTTCAGTAAATAAAGGCGAAGGAAAATGCAGCAATTAGTTGTTTATTTTACCCAACTCTAGTGTTATCGGTAAGGTAGATGCGCAGTGTTTACGGCAAAAAAGGGTAAAACAGTGACGCCATCAAGGAGGTTATAAGCAAAGGGCGAGATGTGTACCCTTCGGCAAACTCTTTTTTATAATGCCATCAATATTACTTACGTCGTTGTGCTCATTTGCAGAATTGCAAGAGAACTCGATCTGTCATCTGTCATCAGTGGTCCTTTGTAAGGGAGTTTGCAGTCTCTTCATACCGTTGAGGCTACGCTCAGCTGTGTATGTTGACACAGGATAAGTCAACAAAGTTACGATAGCTACTTATACTCCAGGACAGAATTGGAGTTGGCTTTTTCTAAAGTCTCAACCAACGTCTGTGGCTTCACATTCGGACCCATTTCACTCCACTTAATCAGTAAAAGGATAAAGGAAATACTAACACAAAAACACCAGTATGCAATGCTTTCAGCAGCCTGAATTTCATCCGATTACTTCGAGTCGTTATTACTCTCCCTTACTGAGGGAGTAATAACGACTCGAAGAAATCAGATGAAATTCAGGCTATGCTTTCAGAAAATAAAATAAATTCTATATATTTTTCCAGATTTCAACTGTATGCATAGGCATATGTGCGTACATGCACACTAGCATTCCTCGTAGGAGAAATAGCTGATAGGTTCCTGAGCCAAGCCTTACACGGGTAACATATGCATTTTGTTGCTGACAAAGAACCGCCAAAGCGTAGGATTTGTGTCTACTTTTGAAGGAAACGTAGATTTACTTCAATCATAATATACATCTGTAGTTTGACAACTTTTACAGAAGGCCAGTCCTGTGTCTTAATATTTCGATCCCCTTCACATTTGTCCATTTTTAAAATTGACCCCCTAAAATCGAGCCTCTTAGAAAATTGTACCCCCCTCCAAACCTTCCCTCCCCCCGCCCCCGCCCCCGGGACGTAATAAATGATCGGTCCCTAAATAGTTTTTGCGCGTGCACAGGGGATTTTTTTTTAACAAAACTAGAACATGTTTTGAGGCCACTGACACAATAAATATCTTCATTTTCATTCAGATTTCGAGAACATCAGTGTCCTGATAACGCGAAAGTTGAACTAATATTTATGGGTAAATATTTCATTGCAGCATAATCATTTCATGTTTTCTTTGTTCAGAGCTCGTACAATGTAGATAGTTTTTTAGGACTTCATGATTCGTACGAGCCCTGTTTGCTTAACCTAAACCTAAAGCGCAGTTTCCATTTCGTTTGCGCCGCCTCAAGCCGCTGTTTTCAGGCGAACGAGACGATCATAGGCATATAATTCTGACGTGTTGGGGAGTAATCGGGACAATTTAGCGAACTATTTCCAAAACAACGGCTTTGAGGAAAGAATCCCCTTCCCTCACTTCAATGTTGCTTCCTACAAACGCCCAGGGATCAGGCTTTCTGTTTAACACACAACATTGCTTCCAGGGGGAGGGGGAGAGGGAAGAATCTGTACAGCTACGATGCTCCCAAAAATGCTCCCCAAGTATGCAATTTTCTAAACAGTTTTGTCCAAGATTGTAGCTGGTTGCCTTATAACGAAACCAGGCTTTACCTTGACGGCTTCGTAAATTTTATGAAGCGGTGCCGCTAAGGTGATAAATGTTTCATGGAGCTTGTGCATGACATCAGAGAGATCTAGAAAAAGGTGAAGTTGAACAAGGGCTAAGACGTTCAATTAAAAGCCCAAGTTAACAACAGGAAATAGAAAAAAAACCAATGAACCCGTTCATGCGACTACTCGAAGGCCAAACAATCTGGCAGCATTAGTGAGGTTTTGAGGGGCTTTCCTGTTTGGGGGGGAAACAATGTGGTCGTAGTTTGTCACTGAGGATACCACAGGGACGGAGGCAGGTGTCCGCGTTACT